AGTAGATCAGCCAGCTGCTCCTTTGTATAGCAGTGTGCCTGTTTCTCTAATTAGTGTATGACTGTCTCCAAGATAGGGGAATACAGATTTTTTTTTTTTCTTCATTAATATTATATAGGATAATTGATTGTAAAATAAGTTGTGATTGCCCTTGTATTCACACTTACATTTGTCCTTTTTTAGTCTAGGGGCCACCTTTTTAATGACATATAAGTGAAAGGCATGGTCCTCTAGAGTCCTTCCTAGCAGTTATCTCTCAGAGGTACAGGATCCCACCAAACTGCCAGATGGTCAGGAACAAGTGTAATGCCTTTACTGGATGGCTTGAAAACAAAGTAATTTCTTAGTGAAGAACTAGGAAACAGTAAGTCATACACAAGCTTTTGTAGTTTTTTCCCATTTAAAAGCAAGTGTAAATTGTTTCAGTACTGTCTCTGTGAACTAAGAAAAGAGAACCCACTCCTAGATGTGACTTGCTTAGGATTGCAGTGAAATCTTCAGGCAGAGTCAGAATTCATTTTATCTTTGTATTTTATGTCTACTTTGGTTAAAAGAACTCTCTTCCTTCCCCAAACTCTTTTAAGTTGAGGTTGGGCAATACTAGGTGTGAATAAGCATTTCGAAGGGTCCCTGAAAGTAGTTCTGAAATAGCCTCCAGATACAGAACAGTTCCTGTGGGATTACTGCTGTAAAGATACTGAAGTATAACTTAGAAACATCCAGCTTTTGCTGCTTGATGTAAACACAGGATATTCAGAGAAATAAGATATTGTGGTGTCTTTTGAAGAGTCTGTCTGATTTTCATGGATTGAATGGAGGGTCCTGTCCATTCATTGCCAAAACATTGCCAGCAGCTTTCTCCCATACTCCTCCCTATTCTCTCCTCCTATACCTCTCAGTTGAAGTGACATATATACTTCACTTGGATTCAGCATCCTGAAAGAACGTTTGTTTGTTGTTCAGTGTTATTTTTTTACTATTTGTATGTTCAGGGCAATTTAGTTGTACACAGTATTTTGAGTGTTATCTAAAATATGGAATTCCATGGGGTGTTCTAGTTAGAACTTGTCTGTCCATAGATAAAAGGAGGTAAAGAATGTGAATTTAAAACCATTCATGTTGTATAGAATGTAATAACTCTCCTTTATTGTTCTTTAATTAGTATTAACATCTTTGAAGTCACATTGTGCTTGTGACCAAACTGTGCTTAACCCCAGGACACTTGGAATGCAGATGTTTGGGTTTTTTTCTTTTGAAAGATTTGCGTGAAGATACTGCCCTCAAAATGCTTGGGATTTTTTAAGTGCCTTTCTGCTTTGAACTGGGCACTTGACAGAAAGTGACTAATGCTAGTGAGGTTTCTATCCCAAGCTGTTTAGATAGTACTGGAGGTTTCAGGAGATTTTATATAAGCCAGGTTACTGCTTTGTTATGTTACACAATCACTAGGTGAAGGCGAAGATCAGCAATACATGTGTATGTTAAAAGGTAGTTTAAAAAAATTTACTTAGTATCAAAGAATGTTTTAAGTCATTAACACATAGCAATACGACACCATAAGTATCACTCATTAAAATGTCATGCACTTACAAATAAATATCTCTGTAAAGAAACTCTGCAAGCTGTTGGCAATTCTAAACTGGGAAGGAAGAGTCTTCTGCAGAGCTGATTTCTTGCCATATAAAGCAAGTTTTATGTATTTTATTTTGTGGTGGCTTCACTTGCTCTAATCTTGCAAGAAAGCAAAATACACAGGAGTTAAGATATCCTCACACATCAGAGGAATTTTAGTATTTCCAATTAATTTCGCAATTCCTGTAGGGAAAAAAAAAAAAATTGAACAACATTTCTAAATATTTTTCTTGTAAATCGGTTATAATGGACTTTACCAGTTCAAAATAATAGTTTTTGCAGCCATTCAAAGACTACTTTGCATTAGCTGCTTGAAACAAATGTTTTATCTTGGCATGGCTCAGATGATATTTTGCAAGGAAGAGATAATAGTTAAAGAGGTGCTTGTTGGTCCATAGATATTCCTCTGTGTGACAGAGACTGTTCAGCATACTCCTTGTATTTTTACTGCTGGTGCTAGTGTCTGTTGGAACATACTGTCTTTTTGTGCCATCACTGGACTTCAGTGTAGGCTCCTGTTAGGGAAATGGTCTTGCATTTGCTGCTGTTGAACAGATAGAAGTGTGTGCATACATCTTACTGATGCAATTTTGAGGGTTACAGCATTATGTAATATATGGTCTTCAAGTGTGGAACTAGTTTCCTAAGGTATAAAAACTGCATTTGCTTGGAGTATTTTTTTTTTTTTTATATATATAAATCAGTATCTGTAATTGTTTTAGCAGTTTTGATAATAAATGGGAGAAAAAGCAGTTTGAAACAGTTCTGGTGTGTTACTACCATTTAACCTGGACATCATCCTTGTTTTTCGGTGACTGAAAGGGGATGAGGCAGTGAAATTTGGGGGTGTGGTTTGGGAGGGTGCACATGTGTGTGTGTTTAACAATGCAACTGCTACATCAGGCTGTCTTACTGTTACATGTGCATAAACTGCTTAAGTTGGCTTCTTTAATTGTCTGGATTTCAAAATGCTCACTGAAGATTGCAAGGATTATAGGTGTGCTATCTGAGTATATAGTGTTAGCAGTAAGGAAGATGCTGTCCCAAGTGATAAATAGTAAAGGGGTACTGTTGAAATCTTGAATGCTTCCATCTCTCTGTGCCATCCTTCTCCTCCTCCCCCCTGTACCACCTAAGTTTAGGTACCATTCCAAACTCTGAACTTTGACCCTATGAGTAGCTCAGAGAGTTCTTGCAGCTTTCAAGTGGTAGTGGAAAAAACTATTGCTGAAGGAATTATCCCAGACAAAGAAAGATTCAGGCAGGTTTATCAGATAATTCTGGTTTTGACCTTGTTACTAGAATATGCCAAATGTAAGGATTGTGTGCTGTTTCATCCCCGTTTTTAGAGCTGCTGTAGGGGACAGAAATGTTCATGATTCAGTGAAATCTTGCTAGAATTTATGCAACTGTCTAGCCAAACGAAGTGCTACACAACTCAATAATATAACCTGAGATGTCTTTAGAAGGAGTTTGCATCTGCTTGAGGCATTATGGAACTCAGTGCCAAATACAAAGATGAATTCTGGCAAATAGGCTTGTAGTCATTACGAGAGTGGGTTTGTCCTAGGATCTTCAAATACTTGTTATTGTATCTTCTTGAAATCTTGTTACTTTTGTATTAAACATCCAAATGCCATAACTTTACTGGGAGCTCTCTTAAGGTACTGACTGACGTAAAAAGCTGAGCAGTGCTTAGTTGTCTTTGGTTTAGAGCTCACTACAGAAAGAAACAAGTTGAATCCTTTCAAAAATACAAGGTTCCCAAGGTGGGAAGTGAGTGAACAGGGCAAACAGACATTCTAGAGATCTGCATAGCTTCTCCTTTCTGTTTATTGCCGCTTCTGTAGTAAATGTTCTTTCTGCGTACGTCTAGCGTTCCTATTCTTCACTTCCAAAGGCTTTGGAAGACTAAATGCTTTGGACGTCCCTTCTCATACACAGGTTCAGACTCCTTGAGCAGAGGATAGAAAGCAAGTTTTATGCTGAACCATTCTGCAGAATATGTGGATGTTATTTCTGTAGTGTTTTTAACTATTGGAGCTGATAAGCTTCGCCTCATCAGCCTACAGTAATGTAAAATATAAAATTTGTGTGATCATGTTCTGATGATGCAGTTCCTCTGCTTTATGAGAACAGATTTATTTGTCTAAGTATTTTGTTTTTAATAACACTACCATATTTTTAATAAAACATGTTTTATTATATTTTGTATTAATAAAACACAGCCACTTCAAATACAGAAAAGGTAACTGACAATATGATCAGAAAGCTTGTAGTTGTAGTCAAGTCACAGAGTCTTTTGGGTTTATAATCAAGCTTTTTGTGATACTGGGTGGGGTTTTTTTTAACTTCCATCTAATAGTTCTTATAAACATGCAGTTTAATTACTTGGTCTTATAACAGTCAAAAATTGCAAATAGGTCCTTTACTGTAGTAATTGGCATGTAAGGCTTAATTTTTGAAACACAAACATTTCAGATGTTATTACAGAAGAAGATGCAGATTTTGAGGATTTGATATAAGCTTGACTGTTGTAATCAGAAGATGTAGTATTATTTTAATTATGCCATTTCTGTAACTATTTATATGTCCTCTTCAGTTTTGCACATGAAAATGCAAATATTGAGATATTTATGAAGACTTTGAAGGTTAATTGTACTTTTAGTGCTTGACTCTCTCATGTGACGCTACTACTATCATGAAAGTTTTCAAACTATACATTCCAAAGCTATGCTTGGAACATCCGCATAGTGTTAAATTTAAAAGAATTGGTTTGTTTAGACCTACAGAGAAACTCAAATACTTGTCTGTAGGTGTTAATTTAAGCATCCATAGTTGAAATTCGGGGCATGTTTCTACATACACGTGAGACATTAGAGTTACACGTGTGTCAGTCCAGTACTTCGACCAGTTCTTTGCGATATTGCAGACAAGGAGGGTTTAATGTTTTAGCACCAACTGAAGATATTCAGCATTACACAGCATTCTGATTTAGCGCAGCAACAACATTCAGGGATGAAAAGTTACACAGCCAGTTGATTCACTTAACTGTTGTAGCTGATTGATCTTCTCAACTGTTACAGCCATTTTCCTAGAACAAAGACCATATGGGTCCCTGTTGTGTTAAGTTCAGCTTTCTTTTTAATAGTTGTGATCAGTCACTCCTTCTGTTCATCCCTGAGCTTCAAGAGCATGTAGCCTGTGTCTCTCTGCAGAGCCTTCTCCCGTTGTAGCAGTTCATTGATCAGTCATAACATGAAATCTTTACATTTTAACATTCGAAAGGAAAACTTTTATACAAGATGGCTTTTTTGGTATTATATACACACTTTATTTTTCACTAATTCTGTCATCCTTTATGTTGTAGGTCATGCAGGAGTGTCTGCCAGCATGATGAAGAAAAGAACTTCCCACAAGTAAGTTGTTAATATTTTTACAAAGTACAGCTCTCCGTAACTGGAAGTACTGTTCTAGAAATATATCTGTATTGTTCCTCTCACTTTGTTCTTGAAAATCATGTGGAATACTACTTGGTCTGTATATGTGTGTAGAGTCAGACTTCTAATTCTTTCAGGAGGGTGATAGGAAAGAATGCCCCACAAATAGAGTTTTAAATATCATTTTGACTGTTAATATGAAATTATCCTTGAATACAGTTTTGCAATTCTTTCTGGAATTCAGAGAGAAGGAGCTGCGAGCAAGAAATTAGCCACGTCTACTGTAGGATCTCTGTTCCCTGGCACAGAGTTCATGCATTGTCAGAAGGCCAATAAAAACTGCAAAGCATGCTTACCGATGACTCAGTCTTGAAATAATCTTAGAAATACCTAATCTTATATTCACTACAGTGGTAGTTTTGAAAAGGGTTTTTCACCTTTCTAAAATAAAGAATATACTGAAATACTTCTGTAAGGAGGCTGCTATTTGTGTGTGAAGGATGCCTGCTTATCCTACACATTCATGGCATGTACTTTTCCCTTCTACAACATTTTTAAATAGTAGCAGCTGAACACTGGTGAGTAGTTGTTTGAAAACAGACGTAATGTTCTGGGCATAATTGGTCTTACTGTCAAACAGCGAGATACCATATCTGGTGGGAGAAATCTAAGCTGAGTAAGTGTGAAACTTACTAAAATGTTACTATTTGTATTTTAAGTGTAAAGTCATACAGTTGTGCATCAGTCAAAAGCAATTTGTTTGGCAGGTGTATTTTTGACAATTAACATAGTTAATCACTGCTAACAGTGTTAACTGTTTCCCAGAGAGAACACCTGATGTAAAACTACTCTAATCCATTCCACAAGCTCATCATTATCCATTCTTGTCTATCTTCATAGAAGGCAAAGAGAAACATTTATTTGTCTAGGGGCAGGTAGAGTTGGTTAAAACTTAATTTCTCTTGTTCTCTTTCAACCGCTCAGAGAAAGGAGTGTATGATGGGAAGACTATCAGAGGTGGGTTGCCTTTTGTACTTGAGGGTGGCTAGATTTGTCTTTATTGTTGTGGTGAAATACACTTATTTAAATACCTAAAAAGGCTGTAAATTTGTTAGCATAAAGGCTTTTATGGGGCATAAGAAGTTTTGATCCTAAGTGACATGATTTTGAGGCATTTAACTTAAGCATCCAGCCTAGTTTTATGTTAATTTAGCTTAGTTCAATTGTTTATTAATTATTTAGTGAAGGTTTTTTGCACCAAACAAAGTTGATTTCTCGTGTGCTGCTCACTGACTTGTCTGAGAATGAGGCAGAGTAGTAGACCATAGTAGTTTACCATAAAAAAGTAGGATATGAATAACCATGTAATGACATGCTGATATTACTCTGAGCTCTTATGGTAGTCTACAAGTTAGTAATGCATACTTTGTCACTGATTTAGTTATTTATTTAGTTACTCCTCATTTAAAGAAAAAGAGGAACAAGCCTACTGGCATTCGAAGGCCATCCGAGGAGTTTATAAACCAGCTTCAGAAGGTGTATGGCAGAGGAAGGAGCCAAGACAGTGCAACAGGACATGACTCAGTAATTGAGAATGTGATAGAGTGAGCAGTGTGGATGAGTCTTCTGAACTCTTCTTTACTAAATGGTAGTTAACTGTTGAGCATTTAGGAAAGGGTTCCTATGGTTATAGGGCAGTTCTTCCAAGTGCTCTGTCACTGGGTAGTGGTGATCTCTATCAATATGAAGCTGGCCTCACTGGCATCAGATCAGTCAGTAACCTCCCAGATCTCATTCTTTCAACCCTTGGTGCATAAGGAAAGAGTACAAGAAATAGTGTAAGTATAAAACAATCCTTTCTTCATACGCTCTCCAGATTTCTTGTAGTTGGCAATTCAAGGACTTCAAGGTGCAGGTTACACCGGTAGTTTAACTACAAATGAACTTAACCATCTTGAATTTCTGATCCCACTTTAAGCTAACTTGTAATCTTGGTTCCTGCAGCTTCTGAAGGTAAATTCACAACTGTATGATGCGTTTTGAGGGAGGGCAGAAAATACTTTAAAACTTTTGCCTCAACTAATGTGCCTCATAGTCTGAATATTGTCAAAAGTAGTTAATAACAATTTTCTCATCACCATTCTGCTGTTAATGATAGTCTTTAAGGCAAATCACAATTATAATAAGTTTTGGGTCCTATTTTTAATAACTTCTGCTTGGCACCATGAAAGACTTCAAATTGTACTGACCATCACTGCTGTACTGCATTTATACTGTTTTACAGTTTTCCTTCCTGTTTTTCACAGTTGTGAGGGGTATGGTTTTCTTTCAACCTTCTGGGTGGTTTTTTTTTTTTCCTTAGTTCTACCCTGTGGTGTTTTTCTGAGATGAGATGATTAAAAAAACAAACAAACAAACAACAAAACTAAACAACCAAACCTAAATGGATAACTTCATAGGTTGTTGGGAAATGCCATTTTCCTTTTTATAAATGCTAGGTTGTCTTTTAAGCACAACCCTGAAGTAAGGGTTGATTTTTCTGCTACCAGTTCCGTGCAGTTCTGCACTACATTGGTTTCCCTGGTAGCAGCTGCCAAACAAAAGTTTGTGTGAGAACCATATAAATACAACTTCAAAAACTGGGAAGATTTCTTTCTGCCTGTGTAGTCTCTAGAAAGTTTTTAAAGTATCTGATTCTGATAATGAAACCTTTTCACAGAACTAGCTTTTACTTGCCAGCTTCTGCCTTCAAGATGTGGGAGAGAATCTGAAACTTTTGCAGTTGAAGAGCCATTTATAGTGAGGATGTGTCTGATGTGTCAAGAGCTATTTCCAGGACTTGCTATTTTCTTGTTTTCCTGGCTCCACGTTTTACGTGTCTAGGAAAATTGTTATTCAGTCTTCAAGAGCCAGTCTTTGTGGAATTTTAAAGATAATTGTAATGAAACAGAAGGAAAAAATGTGTTAGGCCTTCTGGAGCATAGAAGCTTATGTACATTTGTATTACTTGGTGTATCACAGAAATAATACACTGTTGAGGAGGTGAGAGGTTTGAGTTGGTTACTTAACTGTCTTTCATGGGAGTATATGCATAGCTATTATTTGTTGATAGTTAGAAACCTATGCTTGCTTTCTTACCACATGTTCAGATGCAAGAAAAAATAGGTTTTCCTTGGTAATTTACTAGTTTGAAAATCTCATTTCTTGCAGTATGAACCACTGCAAATGAGGGTGAATGGTTGTACAGTAATACAACCTTCAAACAAAAATTTGAACTGCAAGTACACCTGGTGGGTACTTGACTTTTAATTAAATTTGTAATGCACTTTGCTCTCAAAGGCATTTTAAAGGTAGTTACAAGTTTGAACTCAGTTATGTAGTCTTTTTCCATCGTATTTTTTTAAATTAGTGTGAAGTTTTTTGCTTAATTGCTCCAATTTAAACATTAAGTGGATTATGCTTTACAGGCAGAAAGTAAAACTGACTGTAAGGTTGAACATTAACAGTGTTATTTTTACTTTTTTGACAACGAGATGTTTAGCAGATAGACAAACTGTTTAAAACTGACATTGTTTTATCTCTTTTACTACTTTCTTTAATCTTCAGTTAGCTTTATTCTGTATTAGAATGGAACTGTGATTCATTAGAACTAAATAAATTAATTGCATGCAAAACAAACTCATTTTTATTGTGCTGAGAACCAGATCTCTCATCTCATTTTGTAATAGTAAATTATTACTGAGTCTATTACAATTTTTAAAAATACATTTATAGTTGAGCAAGATCTGAAATTTCAAAGTGTGTTCTAGTTTCTGTATAAAATTAGAATCAACTTTGTGGGAGAGTGCCTCTTAACAGGAAGAGGTTGGAGTTCCTATAATAATCTGTGCTAGCAAAGTTAGGAGTACAAAAACTGCAGATTGGTCTTGCCGAAAAGGTCAAATGATAACAAAAGTGAAATTTGACAAAACCACCATCTAAGATCTTCATGGTGAATGAAAGTCTAGAGGTGGGACAAGCTGCTGAAGGAATCATACATCTTGTTTTTAATAGTTACGATTACAGCTTCAGCATTATGCATTCCAGTGTCATGTAGTGAGTGCATTGTTCTGCAAGACTGTTTCCAGGATTTCAGTGGTATGATTGTTATTTGTCCTTTTTGAATCATATAGGAACTTTTCTGAGAGCATTCCTTGTCCTTGAAGATGTTTCTCTTCGGTCACTATCTCTAATCTAAAGAAGAATATTGTTTTCTGCAACTGACTTTCTCTTTTAGATGTTGCTCTTAAGCATACTAGTGGTGTGCATATTTTATTGCCATGTAAACTAAGTGTAACTAGTAACCCAAAAATCTATTTTACAACTAGTTGACATTCATAAGAATTTTCATCAAGCAACCCTCTAAATAATCTTTTTAGGAATGAATAAGTGCATTATAACATGCTAAAATAAATATAATAATGATTCCTTATCACCAATATACTGTCATAATGTTCCTTAGTTTCTTCCATTTGTAGTCAAAATTGTCAATTAGTGTTTTTAATAACTGGGTAGAACAAAACTTGTATAACACTTTCATTCAATGATTTCAAACTGTCAAATAGCTTACATGACTGTTGATCAGAACAACTGTTATTCAGCAGAGGGAATTTGCATGCAACTTCCATGAAAACAGAGGAAGGACAAAAAAGTATATGTAATCTTTTTTCCACGTTAAGGAGTATCCCTTCTATTGCCATTACCATTACATATCATTTTTATTTTGCTATACTAAAAAGGAGTGTTAGAAAAGGGTTGTTGCTACCATGTGTCTTTTAAAAATACGGGGAGTCAAAACTACTTGTAAATGCAGAAGGAAGCTAAGTTTCCTTCAGATGAAAGCACAGGTTAGGGAAAACAAATGCCTTGGAAGAATTTTCGTCAGACACAGGTAATGTTTCCACTGACTTTTTCCTCCTGGGGCAGTTGTGTTTACTATTCTGCAGAGAGAAACATGGTAGTAAAGTTATAATACTGCCAGGTAACCTTGTGCTTTGAGACCTCATCAGGTGAGTTTTACTTTTGACATTCGGTGTAGTAAGGGCTAAAGTAGTTCTTTTAGCTTAAGCAAACTAGTTTTAGAAACCACTATTAGGAAACTGACCTTACAAAGCACACCAAAAATGTTTCACTACTTTTCAGCGCATTTTTCTTTTTTCCAATATAGTGTAATGTGCTTTATACCCTAATTTGAATAAGGTATAAAATATATTGCCATATTAAAGCATACAGCTCGTCTGGAGTAGAATTTTGAATATGTATGTACTTCGTTAATATTATGTTTGTATCTGTACAGAAAGCATAGAAACAATGTGGGACCAAGCAAACCTATTTCTCAGCCACGAAGAAATATTGTTGGCTGCAGAATACAGCATGGATGGAAAGAAGGGAGTGGACCTGTAACACAATGGAAGGGCACAGTTCTTGATCAAGTTCCTGTAAATCCCTCTCTCTATCTTATAAAGTATGATGGATTTGATTGTGTGTATGGACTAGAACTGCACAAAGATGAAAGAGTTTCAGCACTTGAAGTTCTTCCAGACAGAGTTGGTAAGTGTTCCGGGTTTTTCTCCTAAATTCACATACATATAAGCTGACATATACTATTAAATGCCATCCACTAATCTCTCCAGACTCCCTCCAAGATAACAAGTGACCACTTAGATTACCTGCCATGTGACAAAAATGAATTTGACTAATAAAATTTAAGTGCTCTATTTAAATTTTTTTTTTCCACAAAGGTTTGATGATACCAGCAAGCGCAGTGCTGCCTTCTGTCTTTAAGTAATATGCAGTACATTCTGTAGTTTTCATTTAGAGTCTTACCCTTATGAACCATATGTAAAGTTAACACTGATATTTCTGTTAAAATTTAAACTCTAAGCCATCCTGGCTGTGTTATCTGTTGTGTGTGTCTGACTGTAATAATGTCACATTTTTTTCCTCATGTACTTTAGCTAAGTACTTTTAGTAGTGGGGGAAAAGGCATTTTCTAAGTGAAATAACTTTGTTAGTAACAAGGCTTTTTGATTTTCAGAATTAGCCATAGATGGTTAAAATGCAGGTCTTTCAAACTGCGAAGTTCAATAATTACCCAAGTAGTTACTAGTTTATGAACAGAATAAGCTGGTGCTCCTTCTGACTGCAAAGCAATTGGTAGCAGTCTCTAGAATGGTGTTAGGGGGCACCAAACCCCAAAGTTTCAAAATTAACTTCATAGAACTGTTCTGTGATTGGCACCTCTTCCTCTTCTCCCCAGCCTGCCTCATGCCCTCCAGTGTCTAGGTAATATACAAAGAGTCTTCACTCCTGTGCCCTCTATTGATCTCCCTTTACCTTGCATTATGATTGTTTAGTCATAGGGAGTACAATGATGCATTGTTGTTTTAACAACATTTCTAAAGTTCTTCAGTCGTCTCTGGAATGGACAGTGTTTGTTTTGTATATGAATTTACTAACTTCCAATCAAATTTGTTTATGAATCAGAGTAACGATTTTTTTTTCGCAAAGACATATATCTGTGCTTTTGAATGAACTTATGGAATGCTGTCATTTCAGCTTCATCTCGAATTAGTGATGCCCACCTGGCAGACACAATGATTGGTAAAGCTGTGGAACACATGTTTGAGACAGAAGATGGCTCAAAAGATGAATGGAGGGGGATGGTTTTGGCTCGAGCTCCTATTATGAACACATGGTTTTATATTACCTATGAGAAGGATCCCGTCTTGTACATGTACCAACTCTTAGATGATTATAAAGAAGGTGACCTTCGCATTATGCCTGATTCAAGTAAGTAGGCCAGTTACTGTTTTCTTCTGGAAAGTGGCAGTTTTTTATATTAACGTTTGGCTGTGGTTTATTTATGGACAGGAGAGTTGACAAACAAAGATCTTGTTTGTTACTCCCTTTGATTTTTTTTTTTTTTAAGTTTCGCAACTAACAAAGATCATAGCACAACAAGGAATATTTGTGTTAAGTGCTGAGATATTCTACTTCTATCAGCAGTGACATATGCAGGAAAAGTTTATTTTATAAATCCTAATTCTGCTGAAAATATGTACATGCTACTGTGGAAGAGTTTATGTTTGGATTTTTTTAAATGAAAACTGACAAACCAGAACTTTTCCACTATTATTTTCTTATAGAAGTGTCACAACTCGTTGAGATCGCTCTTGATTTGTGTTTCTGAAGTAGTTCTTGTGGGAATAATACTTTGAGGCCTACTAATATAGTCAGATTACTTTTGTTAGGGTAGGTGTATTCACTGTGAAAAAGTTGAGTAGCTTCTTGGGGAAAGAGGTACTAATCTTTTGAAAATTCGTTTTCTCTCACATGTTGCAACACACTAGCAAGAAAAATATTTAAGTACATTAGAAGGGATAATTTTTCCCTCCCTTCTTGAAGTGAAAGTCATCGGGGCTTTTCCTGTTAATGTAGAAGGATTTTCACATAATCAATATTGTTCAAGACTTTTGGATAGCCGGTACAGAAAAGAGGAAAAAGGCTTGTAAAGAATACTTTGTTTTTATTTCTCCCATGTACCTAAAACACACTTTGCTGACAGCAGCAATCTATCAGAGGGATTTAAAGAAAATTAATAATCACATAACTGTAGTGGTTGGCTACATGGTGCTTTACATAAGTATTACTTTATAATTATTTTGCTGAGTTTGAGACTATTTTCCTTCAGATCTAGCACTGATAACAGTCTGCTGGCTAAATAAACAAGTGGCACTTATTTGCATAATGTCTGTAGTGATCATCTGTGTTTAGATATTTTTTCCCCACTCATAATAAAAAGCAATGTATCTGCTGCTTGTAAAGAGTACACCACAAATGTTAATGGAAAAAAGAGACCGTCCTCTTCCTAAAGAAATAAAGCAAGCTCTTTCAGATTTGAACCTTCAAATAATTTGTTTTTTGTCTTAACTATTAAAAGGGACTTGGAATGTATTTTAAGTCTGCTTTGCTTTCTTCCACCTTTGAAGTAGCAGTAGG